TTCTTTCCTTTGGGTATATTCTGGAATCTCAAATAATTAAATGCCTTCTCCATCTGTAATATAGTCAATAAATCCTATAATGACTTGTTTGTTTGCTTTATTAATTGTGTTTCTTTGTCTACTGTTTCAATTTTATCATGTGCTTGTTGTATTTTTTGTGTATTCTGTTCAATTTTAAGTCGAACATCTGCCAGTTGAGTTGATACATCCTTAACAGGACTATCCAGTTTGTCAAGACGTTCTCTTTGTTCATTTGTGAAGTTTTTCTGCTTAGCTGACATGTTCCTCATTTCTGTTAATAAATCCTAAACTTAATTTTGATATAGAATTTTGGATAGCCTCTTGGGATGCTTGTTAAAGATGTTTGTATCGCCAAAAGAGTCATTTGTAGATCTTTTTGATATTTTTCGGCATCTTCGGCTTTGAACTGATGAGTTGAACTCTGAGCAGCTGATGTGAATGCCGAAGAGGAGGAAGAGTGTATTTTTTCCATAATGATGATAGTTTTTTGCCAGTAATTGCAAAGCAGGAACAAGAAAAGAAAGAGGAGAAAAGAGGGGAAAAAATCTCCAAAAAGAAAAAGAGGAAGAAGACTTATTATAAGTCCAATAGCCACAGGATGGCAGCAAAGAGTTATTTTGTCTTTATATGACATCACAAAGAAGACTAAATAGAAATCTAACAAGAAAATGGCGGTTCATCAGAAATAAGTAAGAATTTGTCCTTCTATCACTTAATCTACAATAGTTTTTTATTCAGATTCTTTGCCCTTGGGGAGTTAGGAAAAGGAAATCTTACTTTCCAGCCTCATACTTTCAAAAATCCTCAGTTCCTCTCCCCTAGATTAATCGCCGCTTAAACTCCATGGAGGGAGGGGGAATTCCTCCCTCCCTCAAAGTGGTTTTTCTTTCTTCTTTGTTGCACTTAATATCCACTTCAGTTCTTTCACGGGTAGTATTGAAAAGGTAGAAATGCTCACCCAGCAGGTCCGATGAACTCCAAGCTGTTATTCTGTGCTATATCTGGTCGTCTATGGCTTGCAGGGAGCTGATCTCTCCACTGTGTTGTTCGATTGAGAAAAACCCGAATTTCTCCCAGTAAATGTGGAGCCGCTGCCCCACATTGCCCAGAAGAGTGCTCGGGCATCTAATCCCTGCCCCGACAGGGCTTGGTTGAGCCTCTAGCAGCTCACTGTCAAACAAATACCGGCGTGATTATGGGAGCCCCCGTTCTTCACAGCCGTCTTGCCACGACGCCAACCGGAAGTCCGACCAATCGAAGTTGTTGAAAAGCACTCCTTGCCACCACTGCCATAGTTTGGTTTGCCTATAACAGGGGTCCTCAAACTTTTTCAACAGAGGGCCTGTTGACGGTGCCAGCGATGGGCATGGGCTGCCAAGGCAGTGTGGGCAGGGGGCGCAGGCTGGGCTGGGCTGGGGGGCGCACGCACATGCACACACATGCGGCAAGGCAGGGGTGGGTGCGTGCGGAGTCATTTTCTCTGAGCAAGTCCAAAACGATCTCCTTGCAAGCAAGCCGTCCAGTTCATTTCCAGTACTGGGTGGAGAAAACAACTTAAAGTAAAGGACTGCAGTGAAGGAAAGCAGCAAAATGCTGTTTTTGAGATAAAAAGATAACATACATTCCTTACTTGATATATGGATGGGGAAGAGATGTGCACAGCATTTGGTTCATCCCTACTAAAAGCTTGATTAGTCTATGATTTGGGACAATGCAGACTGAAGTAATAAGTAAATGTTTTAATTTATTGTGTATTTTATTATGTTGTGAGCTGCCCCGAGGCTACGGCAAGGGGCGGCATAGAAATGTTTTAATAAATAAAATAAATAAATAAATAAATAAATAAAATACCTGTTAATGCAGGCTGTTAATAGCGGTACATTTTAGTCCATGGAGGGTATTTTATATTTCCTATGTAAAGACTAGTGTCCAATGTCAATGCCACATTTTAAGGTTAGAAGCAGCCAACAAATGGTGTACTTACACTAGTAAGTACTACCTCAAGTAGTAAGAACATTGCCATTTTAAAACTTTCTAGCACTGGATTACAGACTCTCTGGATGCAATACAGAGATGTCTACCATTAGCACAAATCTACTGGTTTACCAATAAGGTGAGCACCAAGGCTCTTTGAGCCAGAAAATAAACATGAAAGGAAATGAATTTATATAAATGGAATTTGGAAAGGAACTTAATGGTGAAAGGCAAGAGATTCTTTCTTGACATGCAGAAAGAGAAAGAGATGCAGGATATGCTTGTTAATTTCCATTCCCTAAATATTTTCATTCTCCTGAAATATATTTTAGGAAGCATAGTGTGAGAACTCTGTCCTAGATACAATTTGTATTTTGTGAACCATGGCATAAACTAGCTGCCATGTTCTTGACTCTTGGACGTCAAGCTCTTTGAAATATTTGACTTACAAGGCAAAACTGGTTGGCTCTTTAGAGTAACTGGTGCTGTCCCTTGTAAGGTGCAGCAAAGCTAGCAGTTCAAATGAAAAGATATGCATTAACTAGCACTAGAAAAGGAACCATGTAGCTAGTACAGTTTATCTTACATTTTTGCCGAAACCCTACACACAAAATAGCTAGTGTATATTAATAATGTAGATGGCGTTTGCCAGTCAATAGCCAGAAAGTGCTAGAAAACATTCAGTTTTGTATTCAGAGCACACTATAAGATCCCTAAATGAAATAGTGGATTTCTGAAGAACTTACGCTATTAATTTCATGTTTAGTCCATCAAAACAAGGGCATATCTATTATGCACAGCAAATCAAATGCAAATTATGTTTTTGGATTGCATAAAATCGTGCATAAAATGTTCCAGGTGCCCTAGTTGTTCTGATGCTGATACATTGGCATGAGTAATATAGAAATAGCTTTCCATTTCTAGCTCAAGTATTTTGGGCTCTTGAAGTAACAAATTGAATAAGGAAATTGGTTTCTCACTTGATCCTAGTTCCTGCAATTTCTGTTTTAAATTACCTTTGTGAAACTGGATGAGAAACAAAAGAGTAGAAATATTTCCACTTTACCAAAGCACCAATATCACAGAATAGAGTATCCCTACTAACAATTGAAGCAAGCATTTTGGTTATTGAATCAGTGGCAGTTATTTCATATGTACACATGTTTTATTCAGATTCTGTTGGGAAGAGGAAAACCTGCCACAACCCAGAGGCTAAAGTTACGGTGTCATTTAAGGAACTGCAGTAGCTAAGCCATCCCAGAGAAACAACTAATTTTAATCACTACCTGTTTACTGCATATAATTGAAGTCCCCCAGCAAGCTCTACCTACCACTTATTAAATTATTCTTAAGCTAGTAAGTCCTATGCACAGCAGATCTATGGACAGTGAAGCATCTGGGTCAACAGCTAGAGTGCAAATGGTGGAAAACCTGGGGTGAATCTGACAGAACATGGGTAAGAAGTCACCATCAAGCATACTCTGTAGTGGTGAACGCAGTGAAGAAAGCTTTCTTCTCCACCAGCACTGTGCCCTGCCGGTGCTGTTCAGCAGAGCTGTTTTGCATGGTTCATGGCCCTTTACATGCAGACCCAAAGGAAGATCAGGTAGAACTCTTGGTAGCCCTCTGTGATGAGTTTACACAACACTTTGCTTAGATTCAGTACAAATTGGACTCCACATTTAAGGTAGCCCCTTTAAAGGAGGTGTCCAGAGCACCATCTGGTCCTGTTTTGTTGGATAAGTTTCCATTCATGATGCCTGATGATGTGGACAAGGTGCTTGGACAAGTTTGGCTTATTACCTTTATTAGCAAGCCTTGTCCTTCGTGGCTGCTTATTGAAGCCAAGGAGGGAATGTGTTCTTGGGTACAGGAAAGTGTAAATGCCTCTTTGAATGAGGGACTGGTCCCAGCTGCATTAAAGGAGATGGTGATTAGGCCTCTCCTGAAGAGGGCAAGCCTGGCCCTTGAAAGCTATCAATACCATTGACCATGGTATCCTTCCAGATAGTCTGGTTGAATTGGGAGTTAGAGGCACTGGGTCTTTCAAAACCTAAGTAACCATGAACCTAAAGGAAACTTACCCCTGAGGCAGTTACCTAGACAGATCTGAGGTTTTCTGCCTGAATGAATTTTGTTCACCTTGTTCAAATGTACTTGCATCCCTCCTAGAGCAGCAAATGTGAGGCTTGGGCTTACTCTTGGATCCATCATTGTCCTTGAAGACTGAGGTGGCCTATGTGGTACCAAGTGCCTTCAGCAACTTTGTTTGGTAGCCCAGTTGTGACCCTGTGTGGATGGAGATAGCTTAGCATCAGTGTCTATGTATGTTGGTCTGCCTTGGAAGAAGCTTTGGAAACTACAGATAGTGTTGAATTAGGCAGCCAAGTAGTTAACTGGGACTAGGCATAGTAAACATAAACCCAGTCCTGAGTCACCTGCAGTGGTTGCCAATTTGTTTCCAGGCCAAATGTGAAATGCTAATAACACTTGGGAACTCAATACCTCAATCATTGTGTATGTCCCAGATCATTGGACTCAGTGGATTTCTTCAAAGAGAAGCTCAGCAGGGGAGGTGTCATTGTAGGAGTGGGCCTTTTTTGTGATATTCCCATATATTGAACAGTGCCCCAAGAAAGTTTGTCTGATGCCAACACTGCTATCTTTTCAGCAAAGTCCTATTATTTCTCCCAGGCATTTGGACATTAGTTATGGTCGAATTATGCTTTTATGTTATTTAATTTTAGCTTTATTATTGTGCTGATTATAGTTTATGTTGACTTTGGTTTCTTCACACCTTTGTTATATTAATTGTGGATTTCTGCATTATATGTACAAATTGCTTCAAGGCTGATTTTTATGATAGGAAGTGACACATATTTAAAAAATAATTTGAGCTAAACTAGGTATAGATAGATATAACTATAAGGAAGAATGGTTATTGTTTACATATTGTATTTTATTCTATCTTGTTCTTATGGTATGTTGCCTTGTGGTTATACCAGACCAAAAAGCAGGATATTAATCAGGATTTGCATGGTGGACTGCCTAAATATTTAGAAGGGTTTATTGAAATCCACTGCCATTTGGACATGCTATATTCAAGCATAGTTTTCAGGGACACTTTCTTTCCAAAATTATTAAAGACTTATTACCTTTCTGGAAGAAGTTCAAGGTTGCGTAACTGACTTTTGTCATTTTTGCACCTTGGACAACTTCAAGTACTAGAAGCTGGGACTTCAAGAGGGCCAACTTTGGCTAACTGAAGGCCAGACTGGGAAAAGCCTCCTGGGATAGGTTACTGGAAGGCAAGGGAGTTCAGGAGGGGTGGGTGGCACTCAAAAGGGAGGTTTTGAAGGCACAAGCCTTGACAATACCTCTAGTTAATAAGGCAGGGAGGCAAAAGAGAGTGCCTCCATGGATGTGAAAGGAGGTGGTAAGAGGGATTAGACGAAAGAGGAACCTCTGTAGGAAATGGGCACTGGGGCAAATAGACAAAAGGGTATTCCAGGAGGAAGAGGCCCATTGCAGAAGAATTCTTCTCAAGGCTAAGACTGATTATGAACTGAGACTTGCAAAGAATATCAAGAGCAACAAAAAGGGCTTCTGACAAAATGTACATAGCAAGAGGAAGGGAGGGACAGGGAGTGGGACCACTTAATGAGGAAGGGGATCTAGTGACTGATGTAAGGGAACAGGCACAGATGCTAAATGACTATTTGTATATTATGGTTGTAAGGGGGGTTTTTTTGTTACCCTCCCAGGGAGCTTTAGTTGTTGAGCAGCATAGAAATACAATAAAATGAAAAATAATACATAATAAATAAATAATAAACAAACTGAGTTTTCATGATACAGTTCTGAAGATTGTTCAAGAGACAAGATGTACAATATCCAGCATTCTTCATCGTGGCCTCTGTGCATCATACATTATGGGTGCTTCGCCTGCGCTGGGAAGATTATGGGTGCTTCGCCTGCACCTGTAGCTGGGAAGATTCAAAAGCTTAACGATTTTAAACCTCTGGTTAGATCAGTCATCCTGACATGGAGCCTTTCAGTTGTTTTACAAGCACTCACCAAACCTCTTTTCGAACCTTTAGCCCAGGGGTCCTCAAACTTTTTGAACAGGGGGCCAGTTGACAGGTGCCAGCGGTGGCCGCAGGCCGCCAAGGCAGTGCCGGCAGGGAGGCATGGGCCAATGTGGGGGTGGGGTGTGCACATGAACACGTGAGGCAAGGTGGGGGGGGGCGCACGGGGCAAGGTGCCATCTTGCTCATGAGGAGATCTTTTCCAAGCGAGTCCAAAACAACCTCCTCGCAAGCAAGCCATGCATGCGCCCAGCGAGAGCAAAACATGTGGGACAGGCTGGTTAAAAGGGCATGGCTTGCTAGATCTGGTCCACGGGCCTTAGTTTGAAGACCCATGCTTTAGCTACTACCAATCTACATCTGTTGTCTTGGAAGACAGCTTTCCTTGTTGCAATCACATCGGCTAGGAAAGTTAGTGAACTTTGTGCTCTCCGTATTGATCTTCCTTACCTTAATTTTCATAAGGAGAAAGCTGTTTTACATACCGATCCTACGTTCCTCCCAAAGGTTGTTTCCCCATTCCATGTCAATCAAGACATTGTTTTACTGGCATTCTTCTCTACTCCATCTACTCCAGTAGAGTGTTCATTACACTCCCTCAACGTTTGTCGCTTCCTTGCTTTTTACCTATCTCAGACTTAACCTTTTCGGAACACAAAGCATCTATTCATCAAGTATTCTGAGCATGACAAAGGCTCCCCGATCAGATCCCAAAGATTCTCTAAATGGATCGTCCAGACCATTGAACTCACTTATCAACTCTCCAAGTTAGAGTTGCCTGTAATGCCCAGAGGCCATTCCACAGGAGCTGTTGGGGTGTCTTCTGCCTTCTCCACTGGCATTCTGCTGCATGACATTTTCAAGGCGGCCACCTGGACTACCCCTTGCACATTTGGCAAGCATTATTGCCTAGATGTTCATGCCAGACAGGACTGCTCCTTTGGTCACGCAATCCTCTCTTCAGTTCTTCAGTGATGACACTGTCCCTCCTCCGGTGTGGTAAGCTTACTAATCACCCATAATGTGTGATGCACTGAGGCCACGACGAAGAAAGTCAGGTTGTTCACCTGTAACTGCCGTTCTTTGAGTGGCCATCTGTGCATTCACACAACCCACCTGCCGGCCCCACTTGGTGTCGGTGACTGGGTTTACAGTACTGTTTTTTCTTTGACTACAGTTCCATGTGTTATATACTTACCTTGTGTGTCTCCTTGAACACACTTTGATCTGACATAAATGTGTAATAATTATCAGTTCCGCTTGGGGGCGAACGGTCGGTCTTCAGTAGACTGGGGAAATGATGGGCACTCCGCCTCCTTATACTGTGAGGGGAGGGGAGGGGAGGGGTGCGGAGTTCCTGCCAAAACCGTTAAGCTTTTGGATCTTCCAGGCTACAGGCACTGCGCAGGCACAGCACCCATATGTGTGAATGCATAGATGGCCACTTGAAGAACGACAGTTACAGGTGAGCAACCTGCCTATTCCAGTAAGCTAATATCCTAGTCTTAGGGTAGGAGTAAGAAATTGTAGATCTGTATACGTTTTGTTTTACAACTCCTATCGGCCCTACCTGCCATGGCCAACTCCCATGGCCAACTCATGGGAGTTTGTGGATGAAGCATCTGGAGGTTCACTAGTTGCCCATCCCTATTTTGGAGGCATGTCTTCCACATCTTATGTAAATTTCCCAGTGTGGGAACCACGATATATCTTGTCCTCCAGCATTAAACATCCAGCATTTAATTGATTCAAAAGAGCAAGGGTGCAGTGACCATGTTAGATACTGCCCAGGTGCATTTTCAGAATACAGAAATGACATTAATGGGTGGAAAAATGTGAAACTGAGCAAAATAAAAATTGACGGAAGAGCTCCAGCATTGTTTTCTTTTCTGCAGTTGCTTAGCGACTTTTCAAATAGAGAGGAAGCACCATGAATGCATTTTCTTATATTATTATTATTATTATTATTATTATTATTATTATTATTGTTATAACATTTCTATGCCGCCCCTTGCCGAAACCTCGGGGCGGCTTACAACATGATAAAATACATTGAAATACAATAGTACATAATAAATTACCATTAAATACAAAAATACAAAAAATACATTGATTTACAAATATAAAATTAAAATTATCAGTATAAAATAAAAATATAGGAGGAGAAAGAGAAGGAAGAAGAAGTTGCCCTGGCCAGATCATATGTTTTAACAATTGAAATGATGTTTAAATAAAAAGGTCTTTACCTGGTGCCGAAAAACCAGTAACGACAGTGCCAGGCGGACCTCTTTGGGGAGTGAATTCCATAGGTTGGGCGCCACCGCAGAGAAAGCCCTCCTCCGGGTACTTACTCTCCTAATTTCTTTCATGGAGGGTTCCCGGAGAAGGGACTCTCCCGCAGATCTCAAAGGGCGGTCGGGCATATACGGACGTAAGCGCTCGTTCAGGTAGCCAGGACCCAAGCCGTTTAGGGCTTTATAGGTCATAATCATAGGTCATAATATTTTTGTGCTTGTTTTTCTGTCCTAATGTTAGCAGAAGGGAGGGAGGGTCATATATATCCTTTCCTCCTGGACCAAAAAGTAAACAGCACATTCTTTTTACAACCACTGTGCTATTAATTTATCCATCTCTGTTACCAGCTGAAAACAGGAATCCAATACCTATTGTTGCAAGTTTTGTTCCTTCTTCTCTTCCTCCTTCCTATAGAATCAAACTATTCTTGCAAGCTGTTTAGACCAATTATATTTTGTCGCCTCATGAGTCCTCCCCACTGTGTCACCTCTTGCTTGACATAGATATTCTAGTGCCAGTACAAATACAGACTGATATAGCTAACAGCAGGATTAAATGAAGTAAAAGGCTTGCAGTATTTTTGTGGTCAGAAAATGGTGGCCCAAAGTAGCAACCTGAAAAATACTGGGAGTTGAATGGTAATTTAGAGGAGCAAAGCCCTGGGAAAAAAATGTTTCTGAAAGAGATGAGAAGGTCCATTTAATGCTTAATCAAAAAGGCTGTTGACCTAGAAAAGAAACCATGACTGCAGCTCCAATTAGAGATTTTAAAAGGATACTACTGGAGGTCAATGCATAAAAGGTTTTCCTCAGATAGAGCTTTCTCAGCTTCCCCCACATGTCATTGTATGTTGAACTGATGCCCTTGGCATAAGAAATAGCAAAAGAACTAATAATCCATTACTTTTACATCAGAAATTTCATACATAGGGAAAATGAAAAAATAAATATACTTGTATTTCTCCCCTTCAAAATTGGCTAGGAAGCCAAGCACTTTAAAAGTGTATGCAAGAGTTATCTTTTTAAATACTGTTGTTTAAAAAACCAAGAATTCTTGTTGTATTAATGTAGGCATTTCAATTATCTTTTTGAGCAGTTATTAAATATTGGTAGTAAGGAGTTATGTTTGCTGTCTGGCTACATGTTCACTTAATTTCTAACACTTGCTTTTCTATCAGAAATAGACCTCCAAAGAGGCTCAGAACACAAGATTGAAAAAGGTCAAACTGTTGGGATTAAATGATACCAGTTCTTTAATTACAATAGGAGTGGAGATGGAGGTGTTGCCTATTTTTAGTTTGCCTATTACCGTGTTGGGGTCATTCCTTAACTTCTCGAGATACATGCTGTGGATTTAATCTGCATCCTGTCATTCTGTAAATCTGCTTTTGGCATATTTGAAACCAGTTCATGTTGTCCTCTCTGCTGCCTGCCAGGCCATTTCACTAGGTTGCTAAGCTCTGCCCCCAGTCTTACCTGCTCAAGGACAATTTCCATCTTCAGAATGCTGATCCCCTCATGCCTTTGATATACCAGTAGCATAAGCATCCTCTAGTAGTATGTCAATGGTGTAATAGTGTATTTTGGAAATTTTAATGGGTGTTGTTACATTAATAATATTTATTTATTTATTT